TATTCATTTATTTTGAGACAGACAAAAAGAATGTGAGTGGGGGAGGGGCAGAGAGAAAGGAAAAATCCAAAGCAGATTCCACCCTGCCAAGGCACAGCCCCATGTGGGATTTGAACCCATGAAACTGTGAGATAATGACCTGAGCCGAAACCAAGAGTTGGATGCTCAACTGACTGAGCCACTCAGTCACCCCAACAAAGACATTTCTGAGTGTCTCTGAAGGATGCATGTTTGAAGTGAATAGAAGTACATGTAGACAAGGCAACGACAAAGCCAGGAAGAGAAGACTTTCCACACCCACTCTGGGCCCTGAGTGAGGAGAAGGGAAGCACTTTCATCCTTCTAAGCATGGGTCTGGCATCAGAATGCTTCAGGTCACAACCCTTGCCAGCTGAGTGATCTCAGGACATTACTTAACCTCTGTGGACCTCAGCCCCCTCCCTCGTGTGAGCAATGGCAGCGCTGGGGTCCTTGCCTCATTGGGCTGCTGCCAGGGGCTGTCAGTGGGTACAGACACACTTAGAGCTGGAAACAAATCACAAAATAACTAGGAGGGCTCTTTAAATGTGAATGCATGTTCATGCCTGATGGAAAGGTGGCGTTTGCTGCTTAAAAGACTCATCTGTTAGAGCAGGATTTATTTTGATTCAACACAGTATCATCAGGGGATACCCAAGCACCCAGAATATCTGGTTCATACCCTATTTATATTTCTTCCAGCTATTGACATAGCACCTTCCATCACATCAGTGCTGTGTGGAAATGTAAGTTCATTCAGCCTCTCGGTGTCCTTGGATGTGAGCTAAAATCTGTAAATTAGCATCTCCATTTTGCAGATACAGAAACTGAGAAACAAATCAAGTTGCCACTTCCTGAATGTGGAGCAAAAGCAGGCTCTGCTGCTGGTTTCCTTCCTTGAATCTCCAGTTTCCACTCTGTGAGCCATGCCTGCCAGGCGCTTCATTCCTTAGCCTGCTTTGATTTTTTTTCTTTCTTCATATTTTTGTAAAAATGAATGGATGTTTCTGTGAAAGGAGTGACAAATGATCAGGGAAGAGAGGTATGGAAATCTCAGAACTCAGGTGGAGCTCTGGCGTACAGAATCTGACACTGTGCCCTGATTTATATCCCTAGCACTGCCCGGTGAGCAGTAAACAAATGGCATAGAGCAAGTCAGGCACATTATCACCGATCCAGCCAGCTCACTGGGTGCAAGTGTAGGCATCAACTATGGGGAATTTTCAGTTTTAAGCACAGGTGAATAGGTACAAGCATAGGGTACCTCTGGACTACCCCTGAGGGTGGGGGAAAACCCATGGTCTGAAGGCCTGGATGCAATAACAACTCTGCCTCTTTCCAAATGGGACCTTTGGCACCCCCAGCTCTGGGTCCTATGGGCCACAGGGAAGTCTGAGTGCTGTCTCCTCCCATGCTCACACAGACTGTATAATGACTGGTTGGCCAAGGCAGGACAGCTGGAGTCCAGGATGAGAACTGGGACTGGGAGAAGCTGAGGTCTGAAACAGGAAAAAAAAGTATTAAGTCTGAAGGCTTCCCAAGGAGGAGAATGGAAGTAAATAACTAGATCAGTAGCTGGGGAAGTAAAAACCAAGGGGAATCACGGGCAAAAGCAGGTTTTAGAGTGTGGTTCAGAGCAAAGCCCCTCACACAGCAGGGCAACACCAAGTAGTTGGGTGTCCCCTGCAAACAGGGTCAATGGTACCAGTGAAAGGGGCCACCCCTGAAGAACAGAGACAACAGGTGTGAATGGCCTCTGCTAAGTGCTGATGGACAGGGAGACTCTGGGTGCCTCAGAGAAGGCAGAGACTCCCCTGTCACCTCCCAGCCATTTTCAGAAACTGCAGATGTTCTCAACCTCACATTGTGGGCTCTTGTACTGGTCTTACATCCTCAGATTCACTCACTCTTCACAACAACACGGAGTACAGGAAGGGAAAGAACTAACTCATACAAGGCCGCTCTGCAGCAGGCAGAGGTAGGAGATCGCTTGGCCCAGCCCCACTCCTGGCTACCAGATGGCTCTTCGGGCCCCTCCTTCTCCCTTCAGGGAGGACATGGTTAGGCTGTGAGGGGATCCCCATCAGATCCTGCCTTTTAAGTTACAGCGTAAGTTATCATTGACATTTGCATCTGAAGACATTGGTGACTCTCCTGTTACTATTTTGGTTTTGGCTAGCAGCTATTTCTGTGATAGTGAGAACTCAGGGGTCTACAGACTGGGTCAAGAAAAGATGTGAACATCCTTTGTTTCTCAGGCAAACAAGCATTGTCAGCCTTGGTCTTTAAACTTTCCATCCACTCAGCTGGGAGGTTTAACCTATTGTGCCTCTGAGGGTGAGGGGTAGCAGACATCAAGGCCACCTTAAAGATCCTGACTTTTCCTTTCCTTTTCTTCTTGAACTTGTCAGAAGGGAAGTAGGGGGCAGTGAGGTGATCTGGGGAGGCTGGAGTGACAGAGCACCCGAGCAGAAATAATCAGATAAGATTCTGGAGGGAGACAGAGATTAGAACGCCCTGTTTAAGCACAAATTACTGCTAGTTCTAGAAGGAATGGGGAAGACTGCCAGCCTGTCAGCTGCTTTCTCTCCGCATGATGCCACCCTGGCCTCTGGCTACCCCATATTATCCTGTGGTTTCTATGCCATGAGACTATTGCTGATGCCAACCGGCAGCCTCTGCCCTGCATGGCCCCTCCATCCGCACATTGTCCTAAGAGCAGGCCCAGAGGAGAGCAAGCTTACAGGTAGGACTTCCAACAAGCTCCCTGGCATCTTCCAGAATTTGCCTCTGTCTTGATTATTAGGGAACAGTTGATTTGCAGGAAAAAGACGTTTCTATTGAAAAGTGTTTTCAGTGTCTTTAGTGAAGCAATAAAATGTATTTTTCTACCTGTTGACATTTTTGGTGCCTAGACAGGATTTCTTGACAAGACAAAATACATTATCCTGGATGCAGCCAGTCTGTGTGGGTGAGTGGGAGAGGGCGGGCCTGATTCCAGCAGGCCCTGCTGACTATTCCAGTGTCTCCAGCCATGAACTGCCTGTTGCTTGCTTAACAGGAGACCAGTTGTCCCTGCTGAAAGCCTGCAGCAGTGAAAACTTTGACAAAAAATTGTTAAAATTATTACAGTTTTTAATTATCAAATATATTTGTGTTGGAAAGAAAAAGCCACATAATATATATAAATTCCAGGAAAATAAGTAATATTGTTTGCAGCTAGAATGTCCCACAGTTTTCAAATGGCATGCACTCAGCTCTCATACTTTGTAGGTTTTACCATAAACATGGTTCAGGAAAGCTGTTGCTGGGAAAATGCAGATACACAGCTCAGAAAGTCCAGATTATCCTCCTCACCACTGTGCCCCTTTCATACGTGCACATGCACACACATATCTACACATACATGCACATACATGTGCATACCCACACATGCAATCCTTACCTGCAAAGAGTTTCCAGTCCAGTAAGTATCATAAAGTAAGGAGAAAAAAAGAACAGTGCTCCAGGAAGGAAGTGGTCCAGCCAACAGAGACATAAGGAGGGAAATCCCCTACTTGAAAGAAGGTCATGACCCAATATTATTGTCTGGAAGTGGGTATGTTGGAGAGGAGCCTGCAGCCAGTGGTGATGCAGTTGAGGGGGCAGGTGGAAATGCATGCCTGACAAAGAAAGCAAAAATAGTAGTGAGAATCCCAGGTATTGCCTTGAACAAGGGAGTCATGCTATTTGCCTTCAGATGTTTTAGTAAGAGATACACATTGCAAGAAGTAAGAGAAAATCAGGGTGGTTAATGATACGTGATTATTTTAAAGCCATCTGAAGAATCTTCAAAACTGACTCTCTTCCTTTGCTGGCTGTGGAAGATCTATTCATGGCTTACGTATACAAATCTGATTCTGTCACTCTTCTAGTCAAAGCTCGCTGTGGCCCCCAGATGAGGTCCAACCTCTTTAAACATGGTGTTAGGCCTTTAGTGATCAGTCCATTGCCTCCCTCCCCAACCTGACCTCCTGACTTCACACAGCTTACAAAGTGTTCCATGCTTCTTCTGACCTAAAAACTTATAAAAGCAATTCAGTCCCTGGAGGAGCCCTTCCCCAGCCCCAGTGTGTGCAAGCACCAATGCAGAGGCCCTTAATTCCTGCTCCATACTCAGCTCAACTGTCTTGATGATTCTCAGCCTCCCCAGGTTGTCTTCCCTTCCTGTTCCACGGGGTCCCTGTGTTACCCCATCAGAGCAACCATGGATCTGCAGAGCCATTGTCTATTTACTTGTCCTTATGAAGAGGACACACCTGTCTCTCCTATCATGGCTTCCACCATCACTGCTCATACCTGCCCAGCAGTAGACACCAGCAAACATTGCTGAACCAATGACAAATACACAGTCTAGGAAAGACTTATCTGATTACTTGGCTGCCCAAAGCAGTCTACTATACTAGATACTGCTGCTTCCTATTATTTGTTAAATCATTTTATTTTGTTATTCTTTCCATGTCTGTGGGGATATAATTTAAGTACATTTGGCAAGCTGTACCTTAGCTGACAAAATCTGTTTTGGGGTATATTTTGGATTGACAGGTGGTCCTTAGACCAAGGGAGCTCTTTGCTTCGTGCCACCAGCCAGAGTTTATTTGTCCTGCACTTTCAAGTTGTATAGATTGTGTGACCATGCTCAATCTCTGCTGTGGGAGGAGATCCTCATGGCAACCTGGTTCCCTGATATCAAGGAAACAACATTTTAGTGACCCTGGGAAGGGCTGGTGGCTAAGACAGCTGTGGCACTGCCAAGCCCTGCTTCTCTGTGACCCTGCCCATGTGCAGGACAACGTCCCAGTGTATACACCTAGAGTGCAGAGGAGAACACCATGCAGTTTGGTTTTGGCATTTGCCTAGTAAAGTTCTTTGTTTAAGAGGTATTCTTTTCTTGAAATATGAGTGATAAACTGAGAATCACAAAAGTGAAATTGCTTACCTTTGTACTTTTTCCTCCACTTCCACATCCTGTAAAATTACAGAAGTGCTTATTTTTACAATAGAACTCTTTCTTTTTTGCAGAAAAAAGAGCACATGCAGCAAAAAATATATTTTCTTGTGCCAAAAACAAATTCTTAGGCCTTTTAGAGAGTGCCAGAAATCATGCTAATAATTAATGACATGTTTAAATGCTTAGTTCTGCACTAGCAATGCTTTCAATGATCCCAACCTCTTAGTTTGTCATTATGTTAGAGCTGCATTAGTACATGTAGTTCTTTTGTACATGAAGGAAAACATGTTCTCCTTCCATTTCAGTGAAGGTACATTGCCCTGTCCACTTCAGCACGTAGACTGAAGTGGACAACTGAATCTATTTTTTGAAGCTAGTGTTCTGAGCATATACTGGAAATTCTGGCCTCACAGTTGATCATGATAGCAAGATTTTGTAAAGCTAACCTGTTTTCTAATTTCTCTTCTCTTTAGCAGTCTTGGAAACAGCCATATTTTCCAATGTTTGATAAATACATTTTCTCAAAGATACAGATAATTCTGATACTGCACTCTGTCATAATAATAGGTTTATATTATGGATCATTAACTAGATCATAGAAATTAGTAAGTAGATAAAATTCAAATAGGAGTTGTCTGCCAAGACAGGACAGAGTGGTGTCAGAGGATGAGGATCAGCTACATCAGGGACACAGAGAGCAAGAGCTGTAGACTCTGGTGTGAACAGGCTGGGTTGTTACCTGACATCTCCACATGCCCAAGAGAGTGTGTGACAGTCTAGGAAGAAAAAATGAATTGTCAAAGTCAGTAGAAGGAATAAATTCAGGGTGGGAAACAAGCAGATAACAGTGGAAATGATCCACAATATTTGCATTGAGCACAGAAGAGGCATTAATCTTGACCTCTTTACTGATTGATCTCTGGCTGCATGGTGTGTATAGCCTGTTTTCTGGGAAAGGAACAGGACCTATATCAACTGGATAGCAAGCATAACCAAAGCTATCTCTGTGGTTATCTGTTGTCACCCATAAAATTGAGCAGCTTGTGGCCGAGTCACAAGAAAGAGCAATTTGATACCTAACATCTTGAAGTAAAAGGCACATCCTTAAAGTACATGGGAATGATATAAGAATTTCACACACTAAAATCATGCAGCAAAATTTTCGAGGATCCTACTTAGTCACTTCTCTTGTGCCAGAGGAAGCTTATTTGACACACAGACCCTGCCCAGAAATGTGTGGGGCTAATGCTTCCTGGCCCATGGAGAATTGAGGCTTCTGGACACACACGACCTCTTCATCCCTCTCCTGGGTGATTCTGAGAAGTACTTTTGTTCCGGGGGGAAAGAGCTGGCTGTTACCTACTGTGACCACCTCAAGAGTTCCTCCTTGGGGATGCGGAGAAACGGGCACCCTCCTACACTGTTGGTGGGAATGTAAACTGGTGCAGCCCCTCTGGAAAACAGTTGTGGATGTTCCTCAAAAAATTAACAATAGAACTCCCCTATAACCCAGCAATAGCACTGCTAGGAATTTACCCAAGGGATATAGAACTGCTGATGCATAGGAGCACATGTACCACAATGTTCATAGCAGTACTCTCAACAATAGCCAAAACATGGAAAGAGCCTAAGTGTCCATCAACTGACGAATGGATCAAGAAGATGTGGTTTATCTATACCATGGAATACTACATGGCAGTGAGAAAGAATGAAATCTGGCCATGTGTAGCAACATGGATGGACCTTGAGGGTGTTATGCTGAGCGAAATAAGTTAGTCAGACAGAGAAGGACAGATACCATATGTTTGCATGTATAGAAGGATTGGGAGGAACTTAACGGAGGACCGTGGGGGAGAAGAAGGGGGGAAATAGTGGGGGAGAGGGAGAGAGACAAACCATGGGAGACTCTTGAATTCTGAGAACAAACGAAGACGGGGGGGGGGGGGGGAGGGGGGAGATGGGCATGGAGGAGAGCACTTGTGGGGATGAGCACTAGGTGTTATATGGAAACCAACTTGACAATAAACTGTTTGTAAACAACAACAACAACAACAATAACCTTGGACTTGCTCCCCCTTCTTCCCCTTGGACCATGCAGGTGGTCTTTCACTTCTTGTCCCTGGGAGCAGTTCCCCAATAAACTGCCTGATTGCACCATTGAGCTCTGGTTTCAGAAAAGGAGACCCAGGCCAAGGTACCTTTCTGGACATTGCAGCATCTCTGCTTTATTGAAGTGTGACAGTTTTTCTAATTCAGGTGTTTGAAATCATGAGCTTCACTGAGGAAAACTATGCCAACAGTGGAGGGTCATAAGGACACCAAGAGAAGAGATAGCAAAACCTGCTATTTTGGTTTCAGTGGGTCTTGAGGGAAAAAGGGAGAACTCTGGACATTCTCACCAGCACAACTCACCATGCCCAAAACAACTCAGCTCTCCCTTGGCATCTCCAGTCCTATACTCTGGACTAAAGCTCCAAGGCAAATGTTGTTTTACCCATTTTGTAGATGGAAAAACTGACATTTCAAGAGGTTGAGGAACTGGCTGAATGTCCACTATACCATGGTCCTAGATGTGCTCAGGTGTCTCTCCAGGCTCTTGCTTTATTTTTTTTATTTTTTAAATGTTTTTATTTATTTCTGAGAGAGAGACAGCATGATCAGGGTAGGGTCAGAGAGAGAGGGAGACACAGAATCTGAAACCGGCTCCTTGCTCTGAGCTAGCTGTCAGCACAGAGCCCGACGTGAGGCTGGAACCCATGAACCCTGAGATCATGACCTGAGCCAAGTCGGATGCTCAACCGACTAAGCCACCAAGGCTTTAAAGGCCTGAGACCGAGTGGAGCAGGAAACTCATATTATCATGCTTTTACAGAAGAAATTAAGGCTATCCCAAGAATTAACATAACATTGAAATAAGTAGGTATGAGTCATTAGCAGCAAGGTCCACAGAAGCTGGAGAGTGGGCAGATGGAATCAGCTAAAGGGATCTGGAGGAACCTGAAGGAATACAATCATGTTGGCCACACCCAGCTTTGGCCCCCTTGAAACAAGAAGAAACTTGGATGAGAGAGAGAGCATCAATCACCCCTCTTATGTAGCATTCTGGGGGACTTCTAAGCACCAGCATAGATTTTGTGCCAAAAATTTGCCATTCCCCTCAACTACCTTAGAAAAAAAAGTACCCAGCAACCTTGTCTTCCCAACTATCTTTAAGAATAATAACCAGCCAACTCTGGTCAGGAAAACTGCTGAGTGCACTGAACACATTCATGCCTCATACGATGTCAGGTAGCAGATGTTATAAGTATGCTCATTTTAGATATACAGGAATGCAGCCTCTGGAGTAAGTGAGGACAGAGTGATAGAAAGTAGCAGATGCTTACTTGGAGCCCAGGTAAATGTCTGAGCACCTAACCTTGATGATAAGCATTCCTTTGACTCCTGACAGACACCCTCTATTAATGTTGTCTATTGGGGAAGTAGAAGACAGGCTGGATCTGCACCTCTCTCTTCCTCTCACTAGCCATGTGATGACAGGTGAACTATTCAGCCCCCAATACTCAGCCTCTTCAGGTCCTGGGATCATTCCTACCAGCACCATTGAGCTCAGATCAGAATTCAGTGAGCTGATGTATATAAAGAACCTATTTCATCTCTAGGTGCAGTAGATAGCAAAAATGGCCCCCAATTCCTTCCATGCTTCATCACATGCCTATTTTTAATCTAACTTTATGGCTCCACCTATAAAAGTTGAAAGCTATTTCCCCATCTCCTATATCTGAGCTGTGCCACTTGACCTGCTTTGGTCAATGAGACATTAGCTAATGTGAAGTCAACTTGAAATCTGTGTACATTGAAGCCTGTTGCCATTGAGTGCCCTGCTGCCACCACTTTGTAAGGAGTATTGGGCCAGCTTTCTGGAGGGCAGACTTATGGCCCTGTTGGCCCATCACCAAGTCCACAACCAACCAAACCCCAGACAGGTGAGTAAGACTTTTGGCTGCCAGCTGACCACAGATGCCTGAGTGAGCCGAGGCAACACCATGTGAAAAAGAGGCAATCCATCCCAATGAATTGAGCCCTCATTGTCAATGCTCAAAATTGTGAGCAAGTAAGTAGTTGTCATTTTAAGCCACTGAGTTTGGGGGAAGTTTGTTATGCATCAGTAGATAAGGGATATTCTGGCACGATAGAGGTTGCTTATAACACATCAACTTCCTCTTTTCTTTGATTGTTTCTAAGTGATGTAATGAATGCAGAGGCAAGACTGCTAATTTGGAAATCAATAACCTAGACATGGGTTGACCACCCCCTCTATGCAGCCCTTCTGGAGCTGTCTCCTTATGGGAAGAATCAGAGAATAGACCTAGGTGGTCACCAAGAATTCCTCCAGCTACAACGTTCCGACATTCTACTGAACCTTTTTTATTTTTCCTGTTCCAAACTCTCATGTCAACAAGGCCCCAGAAATTATCCTAGGTTTTGGTTCTTTCTCCCTTTACTTCTGATTACAATTCATGTTTCTTTCTTAGAACCTTGCCCATCATGTCTACGTTGAATATCTGAATGCTTATCTTCCCATCTTTTAAGTCAGAAACTTTCTACTGTTATAAGACATTGCAGCTTTTCAATTCCCAATTGTTATCAACTTAAGAAAAACATCTTAGTAATAGATTTTGAAAAGAAAAAAACCTGTATTATATTAATTAGATTGCTTTAAAATTGCATATATCAATCATCATCTTTAAAACTATAATCAACATTTCAGGCAGAGCATTTTACACATTTGATCTTACAATGGTTTCTGAATGAGCACTGTTGACCTCCAGACACCATGCACAGCACTACAGCCCCTGGGCTAAAGGCTTTAAGTTCAAGACGTTTTAAGAAATATTTCTTATTTGAAAAACTCAAATCTGTATTTCCTCTCATCAAGTCCACCTATCTCGAGTGAGGTAGCAGCTTCTCTGCAAAGTTGCTGAGAAGCCTGACAGCTGGCTCAGTGCTTTAGTGACAGCTCTTCATGACACATGAATTGGGCCCACCAACCTCTCCCAGCTCTGAAAGTTCTAGAGTCTCTTCTAACAGCTAAGCATCATTGAGAAGGGTTCCCATTTTCTAGGAAATTTGGCAATTTCTACTGTGTCCTACTGCCTCTCATTCTCTTTCTCATTTCAATGTTACATCATGGTGTATTTGTTATGATCACACTCCAATCAACAAATAGGGAGCCACACTTCAGACAAACTGCCCTATGTGTGCAGCTACCATTCTAGATCAGCTGAGGTGCACACCAGGAGCCCTGGATCCCTCCCTGAGCTGCCACATTTGCTGTAAGCAGCTGACATTCCTCTCTTCAAGTTTGAGATGCCTGGTTCTGGCAAGATTCTTTTCCAGTGAAGTGTAAGGTCCATTAAGATTTTGGAAACACTCAGCATTCAAGAGACTCTCATGGTTTGCCTCTCTCCCTCTCCCCCACTATTTCCCCCCTTCTTCTCCCCCATGGTCCTCCATTAAGTTCCTCCTAATCCTCCTATACATGCAAACATATGGTATTTGTCCTTCTCTGCCTGACTTATTTCGCTCAGCATAACTTTTGAATGCTGAGAACAAACTGAGGACTGATGGGTGTGTGTGTGTGGGGGGAGATAGGCATGGAGGGCACTTGTGGGGATGAGCAGTGGGTGTTATATGGAAACCAGCTTGACAATAAACTTTGTAAAAATAAATAAATAAATAAATAAATAAATAATAAATAAATAAATAAAATGAACTGGTAAAAAAAAATATTTTGGAAACACTAAAAGGTGTGTGTGTGTGTGTGTGTGTGTGTGTGTGTGTGTAGGGGTTAGTATCAAGAAAAGAATACATCCGGGGATCTCAAAGATCTGTGAGTGGCATGGGAGAATAAGAAGAGGCAGGGAGCAGGAGGAGCAAGAGGAGAAGAAATAAAACTCACCACATTGTGAATTGTTCCTTTTTCTTTCAAATCACCCTCTTTTTTCAGAGACATCTGGTTTTTTTTTTTGTTTTTTGTTTTTGATCCTGCAATCTAATGTAGTTTTTTTCAACAACTATCAATCACTAAGTATTTGGTCATTACTGTGAATACAGTAACCTATGGGAGTCCACTCATATAACTGCCAGAGAGAAGTTACATATTTATTCCACAACAAAAAGAAATGTGAATATTTAAATATTACATTAAATGAGGCACATTATGAAAACCAACTCTTAGAAAATTTTAGCAAATGCAAACACACAACCCTTACACTCCCATCAATGTATCCATGCTCAATCCATCAACCAGATGAGCCAGAGTATACAGTTCCAAAGCATCAACCTGAAAAGTTTCAAAGCACCTACTACATGAAGACAGTCCATAACACTCAATACAAAGGTATTTTCTTCCTTCAACTTCTGCAACCCTCATTTTTGGAAGGAACACTCCACAGAGAAGCAGTGACCAGTGATCAAGTTTCATACTGCAAAAGAGGATGCCTGCCTGCTCTATTAGTAAAAACCCAATTTAAAATTCAAACATTACCTAGAGTCAGAAGCGGGTCACAAACGCAATCCTGGCTGGTGTTCTCTTGGCAAAACAAAACTGTCCTCCAAAGCCCAACCCAAAGCCCAGATAAGCAAAAGTGCACTGGCTGAAAGGCAGGAAACTAAATCCCAGGCTACTTCTGCATATTCTGTAGCTATAGAAATCTTAGTTAACTTTTGTAAAGAAAAACCTCAGCTTCTTCATCTGATAAATGCAAATAATGATCCTCCACCTCAAATGAGTCTAACAGCATCTTCTCAGCCCAGTGGTTCAGATGAGAGAATTTTCTGTTTAGGAAAAGACTCCAATAACAACTAGCAATTTTACTAAGGTAAGAGGAGTGGGGGGAGGGGCATTTTCCTCCCATTTGAGAAGTTCTAGATGAGAGAGATGTTCAATGCCCTTTTCTGAGTATTCCAGACCACAGACTTGCAGCAATGGGGATCTAGAGGAAGAAGCCTGCAGAGTTGCAGATGGAGTCCAATTCAGGTTGATAAGGGCAAACCACAGATGCCTCTGGTTCTGCTGACCTGCTTGCTCCTCCACCCATGTGCCTTTTTACAGCCCCACTCTGACTTTAGCATTTTCTTTGGGTGGTTGCTGCTCCACAGGTGCCAAACTCCCCAAAAAGAGAAGACAGGGAGAGACCTATGGTTCTGGCACCACCTCCAATGCCTGGTCTTTGCAAAGTCTAACAGAGGCACCCTACCATTGGAAGTAGTGCTTTGGGGGGATGGGAGGGGGGCAAAGTGTTGGTTACCAGGGCAGGAGGGAGGGCTCTGCACCAAGGAGGGTTTTATGGGGGCATAACCAGCCTTGACCATCAGGGTCTGGGCTGGCAAGGCAGGAGCCTGAGGCAGGTCTGCACCTGGGGTAGAAATGGACTCACAGATTGTTTACCTAAATCACTTTTGTCCCCTTTTCTGACACATCTTTCTTTCCTAGCTCTTTCTCTAGGGAATTCACACAGAAAACACTATTCCCCCTTCCCCCAACGTTTGAAATGCATGCTATCTTGGGAGGTGGCCTTACCTTGACTCTGCTCCCCTGTACTCGCTCTCCTCACAACAGTTATGCCCTCCACCCACCCACCTCACAACCCTAGTTTCCTTTTAATTCCAACAGCCAAGAGGCCGCCCGGTGAGAAAAACAGATCGGTTAGGGGGTGGGCAAGGGGTCTGAGAGTCTGAGCCCACACCTGGATAGCTGGGTGGTCAGGACATGAACAGATGCCAGACCTTTAAAGCGGGTCCTATGAACCTCAAAACCGAACAAGAGCCTGGGGAGGCCTTTAGGACCAAGGGGAACCATCTCTTCTCAGAGCCAGGCTGCAAATCCCTGTCCACTGAGTACCCAGCGGCTACCCTCCTCCCCCAGTCTCTGTCGCCTTCACATTCCCAGAGAGCGGCCCCAGGCCACCCGCCGGACGTGATCACCCGAGGCGGCCCGATCCGCCTGGGGCAAAGTTGGAGGCCGCCTTCGCACGGGGCCATTCCCTTCTCCTCGCTGCCATCCTCCCTCGGAGCCCGTGGCCACCTCCTCCAGCACGCGTGTCGCCAGGCTTGGCGATCCGAGCGGCGCGTCCCGGGACGCCCCTCGCCCAACCAGCCGGCCAGGCGTGCGCCAGGGGAGTCTCCCCGCACCCTTTCCTTTCCTGGGGGCTGGAGGGCCGGGCTCCGCCCCATCGCCGCCGCGAGCGAGCACCCTGCCGCCCCGGGCTGCAGCCGCTGACCCTAGCCCAGAGCTCCAGCACGCTCCGGGCAGTCGGGGGCGCGGGCGGTGAGTGCGGGGCGGGGAGCGGCGCGGAGGGGAGGGGAGGGGAGGAGAAGGGAGGGGAAAGGAGGGCAGAGGAGGAGAGAGCTGGGGAGCTGAGGTGCTGAGGCGGGCGCCGCACCGCCCGGCGCCCAGCACGCTCACTGCCTCGGGAGACGCGCGGGCGGTCGCCTGGGCGCACTGGCCGGGTCACCTTGGCCGGGAGGTAAGTCCCGACCGCCCCGGCAGCGCCGGCAGGCGGAGGGGCGGGCGGGAGCCTGGCGGGGGCCGCGGGCGGGCGGCGGGCACAGGAGGCGGCTCTCGCGCGGGAGGGCGCCCAGGCTCCGCCTCGGAACGCGCAGACCCAGCGGCGGCGCGACGCCCGCGGTGAGTCCGGGTGGTCGCAGTGGCAGGACTTAGGAGGCGCGGGGTCGCCAGCAGCGAGGGTAGAGCGGAGCAGGCGAGGAAGATGCGGAGGAAGGGGAAGGGTGCTGTGAGCCCTGGCTGCAGCTTGGCGCCTCGCCACCCCAGGCACCCCGGTGACGCGGAGGGACTGTTGTGCAAAGTCGGTGGGAGCTAGTGAGACCTAGACCTGAGAGCGCATTGGAGCGGGACTGCCCAAGGCCGTGACGGTGCGCGGCTGGCATTGGCTCTGCAGGTTCGGGCGACCCCCTGAAGGGACCCAAAGGAGACCAGCTGGGGCTGGTGAGCGGGGCAGCCGTGGAGCTGGGGACCGAGGTCCAACTGAGACCGGGAAGGGTAACCGGCTTAAATGCCTTCGCCAAACGAAGGGAAAAGGGAAGGTGAGGGTGCGAGCGCATTGGGATGGGGACTCCCATTCCTGGACCGGGACGGAGATGGGGACTCCTGGAGACCCCGTGTCCGCGAGCTGTCCGGTCCCTGGCAGCCGCGACAGCGCGCAGCCTTGGGAGCCGCCAGCCAGGCGCAGAGAGGGGACCGAGTGAGTGGACGCGCTTTGGGGGATCAAGTTCTAGTCTCGATTTCACTAGGCATGATTTCTGCCTCTTGGTGTGCGCTCTCCGAGCTGCGGAGAAAGGAATGGATTACAGGCAGAGTTGGGCACTTTTCTTAGGGAAGGAGCTTTGATCTCTGTGCGTTTTCTGCAAGACTCCAATAGAGTGGGCTTTTGCGTCCTTGCTTTTGGGAGGCTGCCAGTGGGGTCGCTTGGCTTTTCTGAAAGACTAGAGGAAGGCGTCATCTGGTCGCCTTCATTTCCTTAGTGGGGGGATCCCCTTGAACGCAGAGGCGTGGGCTCCTGGTACCCAGACTTCAGGTTATCGTAGCCTTTCTGCGGCGTCAGATGCGCTGGCGCCGCGGGGCTAGTGGCCCGGACTCGATGTCTGCGCCTTCCCGGTGTTCGGTGCAGCAGACACAAGCTGAAGACTTGGCTGTTGTGAGGGATGAAGAGTGGGTGGTTCCGTTTTCTGGTTAGAATCAGGCTCGGGCGGTGGTGCGTGCGCGCTTGTCTGTGTGTCTGTCCGTTTCCCTCCTACTGGCCGGCGTGTTTAGTCAGAGCCCAAAGGGAGAGGCGTGCTGCGCAGACCTGCAGCCTGTAGGGTGAGCAGCCTGGTAACGAACCCCAGAGCGGGCCAACTTTTTCCTGCTGAGGTGTGATTGCCAGGACAGTCTACGTGGTGCTGGGATGTGGTCCTCCTCCGAGAGGGGTCCAACTCAAAAATCCTCACAGCAGCAGAACTGAAGACGTGCCACAGAGGTGGCCCCGCGGCAGCCTGATGTCCCTTCTGGCTAGGACAGGAAGTAGCGGGAGCCAAATTTTGGGATGAATTATTGCATGCTGTGTGCCTGGTGGTTGTGTGAAGTGTCTTTCTGGAGCTCAGACTACAGGTGCCAGGCCTGTGAGAGGGTGTGAGGAAGAGCCCTCCACCTCCTCTCTTCTCTCCCTCTCTCAAACACGCCTGGCACCTTTTGAAGGAGCAAATGGTGGCTGGCCTGGTGCCCTCTCCCATCCTGCCCCAACCTACTGCATAAAAATGAAATCACCATTATCAATAGGGCCTTGTTGAATAAAGGGGAAAAAGAGGAAAATCTGTGCTTAAAGTTTTTTTTTTTTTAATCATTGAAAATTTCAATGGTACACCAAAGTTGAGAGAACCCCCAGTGTACCCTTCATATAGTACCACACTCACTGACCCTCTTTCCTGGCCTCTTTTTAACCACCTTGCTTCGGAGTTTTGGAGGCTGTGTTTCATGAAAATTTTTTTAAAGAACTCATTCCAAGCCCACCTCATCTCTAAATGCAATCCCAGCTACCTCCTGTTGATGATATTTCATTCCATTTCACCTAACACCAGAAATCACTGCTTTAAATGATTCCATTAGAACCTATGCAATCTTAAAATAGAAATGAAGTTACCTCCATTTCCATTTTGGGGTAGTCAAACTTACTAATGTTCCCTAAGGCATAAGAGGGATTGAAGGAGGAAAGAGAAATCTAGATCCTGAGAAAAAGAGACATTTGAAACCATTGGATTTGACTTATACCAGTTGATGTTCAGGGAATAAACAAGATTCCAGCTGAACCATGAGAGGCAAAATAATTTTTTTTGTTAAAAACTTTAAACTCAATTCATAGATCATAGGCAATTAATTAATTCCACATTTAGCATGACATAAATTAAAAGCGCTACACACTGGACTTGACTCATCTTTCTCATTAACTCTGACCTGTATTTTCTAGGGAGTTGTTTCTATTATAAGAGAATAAAAATGTATTTTCTTATGTAAGTTTTGTATCCAAGACACTAGTTGGTGCTATTCTGGGGTTAGTGAGCACTACTGAATATTTCATCTCTCAATTAGAAAATAAATGTTTGGTTGTAACACCAGTCACATCTGGTACACACTCCGGAGAGATACTACTTGCTCAGATTTGAGCTTAAGTGTGGTTTCTGTTGGCTGGAGGGGAATGGCATGGTGGTCTTCTAGAGACAATGGGAGGGTGCTCCCCCACATTCCTACGTGGCTCCCTCCCACCCTGCCACCTTTGTGCCTTCCCTTTATATAAAACCTGCTCCTAAAAATTGTCAATGTTCTTGGAGGATTCAGTCAGACTTTTGAATACCTTTATGAAGTGCATTACTTAAACGCATCCTTAGTTAACCTCTCATAATATGAATAACCATCCTGTAAGTGAGCAGTTTTAAATAAAATCTTAACTTCCTTTTTTAAAAAATTTTTAGTGATTATTTTTGAGAGAAGGAGACACAGACAGAGCATGATCAGGAAGGGGCGGAGATAAAGAGAGACACAGAATCTGAAGCAGACTCTAGGCTCTGAGCTAGCTGTCAGCACAGATCCTGACGCAGAGCTCAAACCCACGAACCATGAGATCATGACTTGAGCCAAAGTCGGACCCTTAACTGACTGAGCTATCCAGGCACCCCAAAACCTTAACTTTCTACGATACCAGCATGGCCCTGAGCCCCTCACCTTGGCCTTTGCAGGGCCCCCATTCACACTAGAGATTCTCATGACCCATATGGACTGATTGCAATACTGTGACTTGTAGCCTCAGCAGACAGACTTCATCTTACCTTACTCTTTGAGTAAGAGGGCAAAGGTGGCAAGGATTTAAGGGTGGGGTGTTCATTTGTCAGCATCAGCAAGGCAGTGGAGCTAAATGATTGGCTAAACAGCCTGTTCATTCAATGGGAAGTTCTGAGGTTGTTTTGCTGAAACATGCTAATATGAGGAGGTATTGGAGCCATAGCTGTTAACTTGGCATCACCACACTGGAGACATTGTGCCAACATGTCAAAAAGCAAAACGTTGAAGATATGCATATATTAAATATCCCAAACATTGAAGATAGGCAGAACAGGTCCCTGCCTGTGTCACCAAATTGGAATAATGAAGGTAGTAGCAGGTGGTTTTTAACAAATGTGGTTTTCAGCATTCTCTGTGCAAGATACTTAGACATTTCTAGTTATTCCTGAGAGTTCTTAAATGCGTTTTTCAAATTTTAAGGAAGCTTTATGTATTTATTTTGAGAGAGAGATAAAGAGAGAGGGAGGGATAGAGAGAGGGATAGAGAATCTAAGCAGGCTCCACACTGTCAGTGCAGAGCCCAATGTGGAGCTCGAACTCAAAAACTGTGAGATCATGACCTGAGCCAAAATCAAGAGCTGAACACTTAACTGACTGAGCCACACAGGTGCCCTTCATAAATGTATTTTAAAGAGGGGCTGGGTAACTTTCTCAGTCACTGGGCTATAATCAGCATCCCCATGGTGGTTTTCTTTGACAGCCAGTGTACTGGATTTCAGGTAGATGTACAGGGAGGACAGTGGGGGTGATCTGGTATTTTCCTAGGCCTCTTGCTCCTCACCCAACAGGGTTTTCCTGGAGGGCCTCTGAGGAGACTGCCACTTGCTTGTTTGGGTGATTTTAGAGCCTTCACTGAGCTTTTCTGAGCTTCTCCTGTTCCTTTTCATCTGCTTTTTGGGATTTTGAAAACAATGTTTATGGTTGGCAAAGTTTTTTAAAACGAGGAAGGCGGGATTGAGAACACTTAACTGCACATCTCTTCAGGTGAAGTTGCCATGCCCCTCCCCCATGGCCCTCTGAGCACTCAGAGTGAGCCCAGCCCATGCTCTGTATCTGTACCTGCAGCAAGAGTCAAAGTGAGGACATTGTGTGTTTTTCCTTGCAAGCCTGTGTTCTCATGTAGGAATGTGTTTGAGTGGCATAGACGTTCATGTCAGGGAGTTGAGAGGGAATGTACAGGAAAGGCTTGTAAGCAGAAATATATCCTCAACACAACTCAATTTAGACTCGTACATATCACATTTAAGAAATTACATGCTTCATGTTCTCTAGGAGAAAACATTTTGAAGCAGAATATCAACAAGCTACAAAATACCAAAGCACCTGTTGATTTAAGTTACAAACTTTACTTAGATCAAAAATTCATGTCATCTTAAATCATCTTATGGTAAATAACCTATCAAGTTGCATTAAATAAAACACTGAACAAATAAGCATTG